AAACTATAACTGATTCACCCTAGTGTTAGTGCTTTCCTGTCCTATTGCAGTGGTTTAGGTAGATGGTCGTTTCCTCCCTATGGACTACACTGTCAGAAGAATTAAATCCTTCCTGAGAAGGAACTTTGAAGTTATCTCAACTCTGAATGCATCCGCTATATCTACTTTATGAACAAGAGCTACCTTGGCATGGATTAACTTCCTGTTGGACATGTCCCTTTCAAGATTAGAGAATCTGAGCCTTGAGCCACACAAAGAAAAACATGTTAAAAGCAACTTCTTTGTTGTGTTTTTTTGTGCAAGTTCAAATCTGCTGTAAGGTCAAATGAGTTTTGACTGCTCCATGTTTTTTTGAATTCGATGAAAAATCTGGAGGCAGGGGAAAGTTGAGAGCAACAGGCTGAGGAAAAGAAGGTGCAAAAAATCCTCAATCTGAGCTTAAGGAGAACATTTCAAAATGTATTGAAGATAATGAGTCTTTGTTTAGACCCTGTTCTGCCAAGTGTTTGTATGTTAATGAGGAGAGAACTTCCAGGGGAATCCTTAGTCTTTTCATACAAGCTGAACTACAGACTGACACTTGGGTAGTGCACTTGGGAACGCACTACAGAAATCTGCCAACAGACTTGCTTCGGTGTTGCTCTGGAGTCTGACAGGGTATTCAATGTTGTCCGTCTTTCAGTATTCCATTCTGGTATACACCAGTGTGGCTGCTGTTTTCCTGGGTATGGAATTTCTGTAACAATTGCTATTTGAAACTCTTGTCAAAGCTTAAATAGCACTTGTAGTTTTCCTTAGTCTAGAGGAAGTTCACAGATGTCTCTTGAACAGTCTTTCTAAAACTCAGGTTCTAGAACATGCTGATCTTAATTGACTAATAAAAAGGACTAATTGTGCTTGTTTGGTATTTTCATTTGTGGAGAACTGCAAGTTATCTATAGTCAGTCTTGAAAAGAATCCAGAGAAGGAGAACCTTACAAATCTCCAGATACAGATAAGTACTCGTAGCCCTGGAGACTTGGAAAATTTATAGCCAGCTGATACTGAATTAGGTACTGAATGAATATAAGATACAAGTATGGCTTGGCTTTGAGGAGGAGCTCTCTGAGCAGATCATGTTTTAAAGGCTAAGTATAGTTCTAAAACATGTATCATTTTAAAGATATGCAGAACAACAATTGTTTAGGCAGAGGAAGAACACATCTTAAATATAGAATGTCAGACAACATAAGGCAACTTTGTATAATTTAAGAGCTGTATTTAAAAAGCTGGAATGAGGTCTCTGGACCTTAAGTTGGAGAGTGCTTGAGGGGGAAGTATCACATAAACTCTTTCTTACCTATGTGGTCTTAAAGCTGACAGAAACAAGTGGTCGAGCTAGACAAGCTTTTGGTGTGACCCATCCTGAAAAGTGGCATCTATAGCCAGGTGCTGACAAGCCTACCAGATAACATCTCTGGGCTGCCCTTCACCAGCTGAAAGAACTTCCACTTGGGAACTCTCTCTTATGCTGGCTTCCTCATCTGGGCACTGGAACAGCAAAAAGGTTTTCTGACATGTTTAACATTTCAGCCTCAGTCAGAAAGGTGTGATAGCTTGAAGAAATTCCTGTAAGCGATCATCCTTATTTCTGAAAGGATGAGGTTGACTTCTTTAATACAGTTCTCCATTTACATATAGTATGAGAGATTTGTCGTTCTGTCCGTTTTCAAAACAAGTTGAAAAACTGGAACATGGGACAAAAATCAACCCTGTTTTGAATGTACTTAGGAAGATGCCTCTTGACTCTTACTATCTTCTCATGCTAAACGGTTTGAAATGTGCTGAAAACACGTGTGGAAAGAGCCTACATATTCATATTTTTCAGGACTTTCTGTGCAAACAAACATTCTAACTGTGTGTTAGAACAATCTTTTTGTTCTGAAGTAATGGCTGCAGTTGATAGCACTAGTGTGTAGCTGACTCTGCATTTTGTGACGGAAGGTTTTTTAAAAATGCTTTTTAGGCATACTTTAAATGGAGGAGAGGAAGTGAGGTAAAGGGGGCCCTGCCAGCACAGATGTTAAACAATAGTGTCACAGAGCGCGTAGTGAACAACACTTCTGTCTCTTGGGAAATGCAGCTGTCGGTTTTTAACAAATTTCCATCACCTAGAACCAGTGACAGCATCGAGTTGTTTCCTGTATCATCTTGCGATGTAAAATATTCAGTGTTTACTGCACAATTCAGACAAAATCAAGAAAAAAAAATCTGCTCTCCGCTGTTCTGACTTCTCCTTTTTGTTCTGTCACAACTGTGTTTCTATCAGCTTTTTTCCATTTAAACTTTGTAGTCTTACATAGAGTAGAACTGCCCTTTCTGCAGGCATTTCGGTTGCAGAGTGTATTTGCCTACATGCACAGAGGTAGCCCAGCCTAGAAGCTTATTTCTTCAGATCTTTACCTGACTGTGTTTCGTGCTGTGCTCTGTGTCAGTATTTTAGTTACTGTTTTTGAGAGCTGTTTTCTTCCATATTTATGCTCTTTTTTGATATATGCAGGTATAAAAGCAGCATAAAATTACAGTGGTTTTGGACTACCAAAATTACAGTTTTGGTATTTGGAGAGGAAATGTAAAATGAACTTTGTCCTGATGTAGTAACTGCGGTATTTTTAGCCTTATTTTTAAAGTGAAACAGAGATGCTACTGTTCTGGAATAATGCTTCTGTTAGTATTAGGAGATGGCTTGGAAACAGGTAGAGAGGGCTTATGGGGAAATTTAATGTAATATCTCAGTAACTAGTGCTCATTTCCCAAAAATCTTTGGACGGGAGAGGAATTAGTTGTAGCTTACACTACTACAGGACCTTTTTTGTTTGTAAGATGCTTAGTATGCATTTAAACAGCTAAATGTATGTGTTTTTAATGAGCCAGGAACTGTTTTCAAGGAAATGAGGAGTCCAGTCATTTTGGTCGAGTGCTGGAAGTAAAATGCATACGTTTTTAGCTCATGCACTTAATTTTACTACAAATGAAAATATCCTAGAAATCTGAAAGAGGACTAAGAAAATATTTATCGATGAAGTTTGGAAACAAAGTAGGAAGATAACAGCTAACTTTTCATTTTGCTATACGTAATGGTTTTAACATCATTTTAATCAACTCTGGAGGCCCTCAAAAAGGGACAGAATAAAAAAGGCACAAATAAGGTTTTTAAAAATTAGTCTGCTGTACTTGATTTTTACCAATGACTTAGAACAAGGTGGTTGTCTGCAATGCAAGGATGCCTGTGTCTTCCCAGATTATTGTGATGGCTGCAGTATTTTTCCATGTTCTGGGTTTTTTTAGGTGCCTTCAGGCACACGGTTTTAAAACTGGCAGAAGAAGGTACTGAAAATCTTTGTATGTCTTGGCTGAAGAGCTAAGCTTTGTTTCTGATGTTTCAAACTTCATATTGTTTCAGGAAAGCACATTCTGCTTGTATTTAGATGTTTACTCTTTCTTTTATTCTTTCTCACGCATCTTCAATGAGTAGATTTGCTGGGATCTGTTTTCCGAAGTCATACTTCCAACTCTTGAAGTGTTGGTTCAGATCAAAATAAACAGTCTTTACTCTGCATAATGGATTTTTTTTCGATACGTTTGTACTTCATGGAAAGTGATATTCATTATTGCCTAGTAGCACCATCTAGCTGTCAGTACTGAAAAAACTCTCTTTTCTCCCAAATACAGACCTCTCCTTTATGAGGAGATGGACTTGCACCTACTGACCAAGCTGTTATCTTGGAGGATGTATCTTTTTTTCCCCTCCTTGGCAATGAAGTCTGATATTGATATAAAAAGCTGTGATTTGGTGTGTCTCCTCTCAAATACTTGTTATATTGTTGCTTATTTGCCAACTCCCTGGGATGTAATAGATATTTTGAGCATCTCATGACTTTTTTTTAGAATGTACATGCTCTGAAATTAAGACTGTCTTTTTAATATATTGATCTACTCTTGTTTTTCCAGATGATTATTAGTATTCATCTGCTCCAACCCTATTAAGTCATTTACTGTTCAACAGATAGCAGTGTAACAGTTAACATTTCAACAAACAACATATGTTCTGTTCAGTTCTACTGTGGTACTGCTGGTAGCTGTACCTCTATATAACAATACAAAAATACCGGATCTTTTGAGCTAAAAGAGTAGAAATTATGCTCCTTTTAGCTTTTGTTGCTCTTGTTTGTTTGAAGAACAAGAGGTGGTCTTTTTATTTTTTAACTTGTCATATATGTCTGTTTTACACCATAAGCATGTATAGGAAATGCATAAGAAGCAGCAAGTTGTCTTTTTCTAAAATATGTGGATGACTGAGTGTATGAGAAGCACTCCTGGCTTGTAACAGCTGTGGATTGGAGGCCTCATTCCCTCTGAAGGCTGAGAAATTAGGGGCATGTTTGTGTTCTACCTTTTATCTCTGTAAAGCCCTACCAGGAGTGACACTGGCAGCACTTATGTTCCATAGCAGCTGCCACACAAAGCAGCAGATAAATTAGCTTCATCTCAGCAAAGCCTAAGAAATTAGTCTAAAAATCCATGACATCTGTAGGGAGGGGTGAGAAAAAGACCATTGTAACTGTTCTTCTCTCCTTCTTCACTTTGCTTAATTTCTTATGTAATTTTCAATATGCAGCATGTATATGACTTCCATGCTTGAAGCAGAGCAGTCTGTTTTACTGTGTTGTTCCTCTTTCTAAACAGCCATATCTAGAGAAGTCCTTTATTAACATGATTTCAGGAACAAAATACTTGGATTTCGAAGTGGTAAAAATTACTAATAAAGTGATAATCATAACAACAAAACCTTGTTAAATACTAATCGGTAACTTCTTACCCAACAAACCTGAACTTCGTGAATAAAAGGATTTATTCTTTAGTCTTAGTAGATGAAGGTCATAGAAACAATTCTATATGCAGAGTGGAATCTTTTTTTCTAATATAGTCTTCGAAGCAGAGAAGATGAGAAAATAACTAAACCAGGAGCTGTCTCTACACCTGTAAAGAATACAGATGATATTTCTAAAGCTATGGAAGAGGTGGCGGTAGAAAGAACTGAAAAACAAACTCCACCACTCCCAGGTAAAAACATTAAAATCTATTGATTATGCATGTTACTGAGAATGGATAACCGTTAAAGACTATGCCATTGCGTGTTTGTGGAATGATTTTTAAAGTCTTAAAACAGACCAAGTCCTAATTATTTTTATTTCTGAATATGGACAGTCTTTGTAACTATAACCCCATTTATATTTTAGAGTCTTGGTCCTGAAAACCTAAGCTGTGGTGTCTGCCCATTATATAGGGGTCAAACTTCAATGTTTAGAGCTGTATTTGTAGGTGATAGTCATAAAGAGTTTTCTCCTGATTTCTCAAGCAAGGTTAAAATCCGTTATATTTCTTCTGAGTGTCAAGCAGTAGACTGGTTCTTACAGGTTGCTGTAGCAGACTGTATTTAAACAAGGATGTAGTTAAGCCTGTTTAGAACTACCATTCCTGAGACACAACTCTAAACACTCTGAAGTGCTTTGATAGCATAGCACTTACTAACTACAGTCATGGACCAAGAAGGCATATTAACAAATGCAATACAGCTAATGAAACCACAACAGAATCTCATTCCTTTTTTCCAAAAAGGAAGGGTAAGTGAAATGGCAGCAGATAAAAGGCAGTTGATGTTAAAAAAACAAACAAACAAAAAAACACAAAACAAAACAGCAACAACAAGAAAAACATAAGATGATATGGTGACAGGACACTGTTCTCAGCAGGCTGTCTTGTAAGATTCTTGTTTACAGAATGAGGTGCTTTAGTGAAATTGTAAGTGGATGAAGAGGAGCTGTGCAGATGGTTTAGAGGTACCTGCTCTTGAAAGAATGAGTAGAAGGAGAAAAAGCATGTTCAAGCTTGAAAATATTTGAACATTTACGGGATGAGCACTGACACTACTGCCTTAGTACTCAGTGAAGAATTGGAAGAGTTATGATGTTGATAGACTGTGAAAGGTCTTGAAGATGAGAACAGTAGGCTTTCTGATGCAGCAGCCATTATTACAAACATTGTTATAGGAGTTGACCTTTTGCAGCACTGTTATGAAAAGATGCAAATCGAGTTTTAATATTTGCCAAGATAGAAAAAGGATATGGTAGTGAGATTAGAAAGGTGAATTCTGTATTTCAGTACGATATTGAAGATTACTAATTGGCATAGTGCAAAGCCAGCCAGGACAGGAGACCCTTGAGATGGTTCTTCATCCAAAGTAATGTACTAATAATTAGTTTGAGGGGCTGGCAAGCAGGAGATTTTGTTGCTTAGAGGGGAAGAAGTGTTCTATTCTTGTGTGAATGGGAAGAGGCACATGGAAACGTTTTGTTTGTATGGGCAGAGATGTAGGCTAGTACATAAAGATAATATTTAAATTTTTGTCTACAGATAAAATTAACTTGCCATAGTATATAGTCTGAGATAAAAAGATGCAGTAAAGGGCATAATCCTTCAACAGCCTCACAGAAAGCTCTAGGGAAATGAGGATCTTCCAAAGACTATAATGAAAATGTGGTTAGAAAAAGTAGTTGGCAGATTCTGTGACAGTTTGCTGCTTAAGACTAAGGGCAAGATGACTGTCATGGTTGATTGTGTCAAAGGAGGGTGGAAGGAGACTGTTCAGAGGGGTCATCAGAGGCTTAGGCTAGGAAAGGGTCATTAAAGACTTGAATGTTATGTTACTGTATGGTAAGGACAAATGTCACATGAGAAAAGGCATTACTCCCAAATTGTCTTAAATTCCCAATTTCAAACTAGTCCATTCAGTGATTTGAAAGGAAGACAGCATAGTTGTTGGGGAGATCAGGGATACTAGCCTAGTCTGAAGCCAGCCTAGTTTGAAATCAGCTTTTCAAGTGTGCAGAGATAAGCCTTAAACACAAATTCTTCTCACATGAGCAATGATGTAGCAGAGAAGATCCCCCATTAGTGTCCGTTATTGAGGGAGGATTGCAGTGGCAGTGTCCTCTCAGCGATACCAGAGAATCTGTGCAGCAGAGCCATAGTAAGTGCTTATATTTGAGAACCACCAAACAGACCACAGTAAGCGTTGAAATCTTCTGGCCTCAAGGCATGCAGCAGTAGTTTGAGTGTTTGGTATTTTAATTTCAAAAATTGATTTCTTGAGGTAATAGAGCCAATGGAAAATGAACAAGTTATGTCATATAAATCAAGATGAGAAGCAGGAGAGTTGAAAGTGGTCCTGCGAGCATGAAGCCACCTAGTTCTTGGAAGTTTTATGATGTTCAGAGTTTTTAATGAAGTACTAAGGAAGTTTTGGAGTTTTTACTTAAGTTGTAATTAGGCCTGTAATCACACTGCTTTGAATGGCATGGTGAGAGTGTCTTCTGTTGCTGTAAGTTTCTAAAATTTCACTTTTAACTTTAAGAGGGTTTAGGTGGGGTAGAGGCTACTGAAGAAGTCATTGAGCTCTTAGTTAAGTTTTATTTTCTCATCTTTAAATGACCAAATGGACTTTTGAAATCTTTGGATGTTTTAATAGAACCAAAGCCAGTGTATGCACAAGGAGGTCAGCCAGATGTGGATTTACCAGTCAGTCCGTCTGATGGTCCTTTACCCAATTCAACCCATGAGGATGGAATGCTTCGGTAATGTAACTCTAAACTCTATTTGACTCTGCCTGGTCCTTGAGCAAACCAAGCCTTTATCCAAGGTGATGAATAACCTTGTATAAGTGGTCTGGTGTAAAGTCCATATATGCTGTCCTGACACTTCTGGTGAGAAATACTGAGATGAAGATTTTAGGTTTGTTCCTGAGTCTTGTTGACACTTAAATTGTGTGTAATATACTATTTCTAAGTCTACTAATTTTCTATGGAAATGAGCAGTTTCAGTGATCAACTGGTGAAAAGAAATTGCAGTGTTTATCTCTCCCTGGGCACCCCAACCCCTCCTGTCCTGTCCCCATCTCCAGAAAGAGGAGAGATACTGTACCGTATTCTTTTCCTTTCGTAGTAACTGGGGAGCAATAGATAGAGGTCACTGCAGAAATGTGCAAAGTCATGGTATGGAAATGAGTCTACTTGAACTGGGATATCTTTTTATTGACATTAGTCTACATGAGAATAGATTCTAGTTTGGTTTTGTCTCAAATTCATCTTAATCTCTTTAGAGCCAAAATAGATCTATATGCCAACACAGCTCTTCAAAAGGAGGAACATTTTTGGAAGAGTGTCAAAGTGCCTCATTTAAATCACTGTATAAGTGTAAGGCAAACAAACCCCACTAAACAAATAAATACAGGTGGGTTTTTTGAAATGCTGCCAATGAGTGTGTTGTAATGCTACAATTGATAAGCAGTTAATGGTATGCACAGTATGATAGCCTCTAACTGAAATGATAAACAAAGTCGTTCTATGCATGTGTTCAGTCTCAAATTTACCAGGGTTTTTTATACTGTTACACCTCTAAGTGGACTATTTTCTAAATCTCTAGGCCAAGCATGAAACTGGTGAAATTCAGAAAAGGAGATAGTGTGGGCTTGCGACTAGCAGGTGGCAATGATGTTGGCATATTTGTAGCCGGTGTTCTGGAAGACAGCCCTGCAGCAAAAGAAGGATTAGAGGAAGGGGACCAGATTCTCAGGGTATGTCAAAACCAGCAACAGTACAAATGTTTTGTTGTACCCAGGCAAGTTTTCTTTCTGTGGTATTGAATATATTGCCTTTGTAGTTTGTACAGCTTTTTTCCTGTGTGCACTTATTAGATAACTTAATAGCAGCAAAATCTCCTGTTACTGTACTGTAGCTATGACGGTTAGTAAGTTTTACATCCAACTTGTTGGACTAATTCAGCTGATAAAGTTGTCTGGGTATTTTAACTGTTGGGTCACTAAATTGTCAGAGGGCTCTATATGTTACTGATAGGTGCTCTGTGACATTGATCTAAAGAATGTAAAATGAACAGCTGCCTATTATTCTGGAAGCTATACTTTTATCAAGTAATAAAGTGGGACTGTTTAGAGGTACAAGAGGCATCTTGAGATACATGCACTTGTTGTATATGTATGAAACTGAATTTAAAAAAAAAGCAATAAGTTAATTTAGATTTCTCATTGTATTATTAAATCTCTTGTTATAATGTTATATGCTAAATCAAATTGGTTACTTCATTGATACCAGGTAAATAACGTAGACTTCACAAATATCATCAGAGAAGAAGCTGTCCTTTTTTTGCTTGATCTTCCTAAAGGCGAAGAAGTAACCATTTTGGCACAGAAGAAAAAAGATGGTAAATACTTGTCTATCAGAAGCAATGTGTATCAGACTGCTTGGAAGAACATAAAAAGTATAGCAAATGATGATTAACTTCTGGCTTGCAAGAAATTGGCACCTTATTATTAAATTCTTTTGGGTTTGGAATAAGTTACTGCTGTAAGTGGACTGGAGATTGATGTTGTAACAGTACACCCCATCTCCCCAAACGCACAAACAGAGCTCTCAAAACAAAACCACCTCCTCAAAAAAAAGACAACCAAAAACCAACCAAAACCAAACCCTACTATCTGACAAAAATATTGGCAGTAAACCTTGGTGGGAGCAGGAGAGTCTGTTGTAGTTACGCCATCGAAAATGAATGATTACGTTGATGTGCGTGCACATGCAAACTTCTTTCCCGGTAGGGTTTGTTCCTGCCAGGGGAGCTGAATTAAGCTTGCACTAGCACCAAACTTTTGACCATGAATGTTGAATTTATGTTCGTAGAGTTTGCTATTAATAGCTATGCTGCTTAAAATGGAGCAACTCTGAGACATTAAGGCTGCTTGAGTTAATATTTTATATTTAAAACCAGGAGAATTAAGGTGAGGCAGTGTTCTGAGTAATTCTTGTGAGCAAAAGCACATCACTTGAACTTACGTAACACTTTATATTTTGGGGTTTCTTTTTCTTTTCTTCAGTTTATCGTCGAATCGTTGAGTCAGATGTAGGGGATTCTTTCTATATCAGAACTCATTTTGAATATGAGAAGGAATCTCCTTATGGACTAAGCTTCAACAAAGGTGAAGTGTTCCGAGTGGTGGACACTCTGTACAATGGCAAACTGGGTTCGTGGCTGGCAATTCGAATTGGCAAGAATCACAAGGAAGTTGAAAGAGGTATCATACCTAACAAAAACAGGTACGGTCTTAAAATACTTAAATTGCTGTTTCAAAATCACAATTGTAAATTATTCATCTGTATAATGAATGATTGGACTTGTCTGTAGGATACTAGTTTACAGAACTGCTTCAGTCAGAAAAACTGACAAAGTGTTAAATTGAAGTGATGTATCTGATCTACAGATTTGCTTTTGACTCCTGGACAGTCCACAAAAAAACTTACAACTTTATGTTCAATACAAGAGACAAGGCTATATAAACCTTTAGAAATGTGATACCAGCCTCAATAGTTCTTGGGCTTTCTAGTACAGAAACAACAGAAGCTTGATTCAGCAGGTGGTAGTGTTTTTTGGAAGTATAAGCATGCTAGTCAAGCATTACTTCAGAAGCTGACTTCCTTGATAACTGATTGGGATTTGTTGTCATGTTAGAGCTGAGCAACTAGCTAGCGTACAGTACACGCTTCCAAAGACAGCAGGAGGAGATCGAGCGGATTTTTGGAGATTCCGAGGTTTGCGTAGCTCAAAAAGAAATCTCCGAAAAAGCAGAGAAGATCTTTCTGCCCAACCTGTGCAGACAAAGTTTCCTGCCTATGAAAGAGTTGTTCTTCGGGAAGGTATGGCTTTATTCTTACTGTTGCAGGTTAACAGGTTTGTGTGGCTTGCTTTGTATTAGCCTGTGTATTTAAGAGTATCTTGCATTTGTTTTAAGCAATCGATATATTTTGACTTTTTTCCTTCCATTCTAGCTGGGTTTCTCAGACCTGTAACCATTTTTGGTCCGATAGCTGATGTTGCACGGGAGAAACTTGCTAGAGAAGAACCAGATATCTTTCAAATTGCAAGTAAGTGTGAGTTCAGGCTTTTGTGCAGTTATGAAATAGTCAACTTTCTTGTCCTAGATTTTTTCTACATTACATCGTCAACACCTTGTAAAACATGTTAACAGCTAAAGTAATAAAGAGTAAATGTAAGCTCTTGCTGTTTGGTTACTGGTAGTTCTCTGAAGGTAGAAGTAATATTCTATTTATAGCCTTCTCAAATTTCATTTCAATTCAGTACCTTATTATCCTATTTCTAAGCATCTGTGTAAAGATGTAGTGATTTTTGTGGCTTAATTGGTGGGTAGATTTTTGTGTATTATTTTGAAGCAGGAGGAGTGTCTTCAGTCTGAAATGACAATTTGAGCTACGAACTGGTTTAGTTTGTCTTAATGAGGGAATGTAGAATATGTTGTAAACTCACAACAGATTTTTACTGTGTCCTCTTTACCAGAAAGTGAACCAAGAGATGCTGGTACTGACCAACGTAGTTCTGGCATTATTCGTCTTCACACTATAAAACAGATAATCGATAGAGTAAGTCTTTTATTGTCGCTGTACTTTTGACACAAAACTGGTGTTATCAGGTGAAGTGTTGGGTGTTGTAAATGTAAAATAACTAGTGGGTGTATTTGCTTTAAAAATAACTTTCTCATCTTTCTATTGGTTAATTAAAAAAACCCACAAACAAAAACAAAACAAAAAAAACTCAAACCCACTGCCCTTTTTCTTATCTATTTTATTTTATATTAATAATTGCAGCCTAGAAGTAATTCTAGGCTTTGTTCCAGGGAGTGTTGTCCTCTCTCTATTAAGGCTGTTGAAAGCTCTTCCCTCTTTCACTTAAAGTCATGGTGTGACGTTGCAGCTAGAAATTGTTACTTATTTATGGAATCCTTAATATTCCTCGACCTCAATTTAAAAATTAATAATTTGACATTATTTTCTTTTTCTTTTTGTGTAAGGACTAGGGAAAAAAGTCCTTCAATCTCACTTTCTCAATATCCTTAAAACTTGGGGTGTTAGTTCACGATACGGGGCTCTACTCCTCACCTTTTTATTTCCTTAGTTAAAAACAAACTGCAAGCCTTTCAGATGCCCAAGCAGGGTGTGGGGGAGGAAGCTATTCTAGCAGCAAAGTGGGGGTGCTATGTGCTTGAGGTAAATCTTGCACTGGATAAAAGCTGACAGAGTTCTTGCATTCAGAGTGATTTTTTTCTTTAATTTTTTTTTTTTTCTTTGAAAGGAAGATGGAGATGTGTAATAAGGGTAGGCCTTGTGGTTTCAGTCTTTTAATTTCTTCTGATTAGCAGAATACTAATAAGAAACTGCATATTTTTAGTTTAGTGCCTGCTTACTTTGAGGAGCAAAATAAAATAGAGAAATAGTGAAAAGCTCACAGTTACGCAGTCAGTTAAACAGTTTCCAATGTATGTGTCCGTGTAGCCTGTTATTAGAATTGGTTTGGTTTCTATTATTCAAATAGAAAAAGAATTTAGATCAATACTTTGAAACAATGAACTCTCTAAAGGTTCTGTGAATTTGTGGAAGATATTTAAAAAGAACATCTAGCATATAAGTGATTCGCTTTCTTGCCACTGTCATTTTTTTATCGCTACAGGACAAACACGCTTTATTAGATGTCACTCCTAACGCAGTGGACCGTCTGAATTACGCCCAGTGGTATCCTATTGTAGTGTTCCTAAATCCTGATTCGAAGCAGGGTGTAAAGACTATGAGAATGAGGTTGTGCCCAGAATCACGAAAAAGTGCCAGAAAGCTGTATGAAAGAGCTCACAAGCTACGCAAAAATAATCACCATCTCTTTACAAGTAAGTAATTAGAAATGCTAATCCAGTATACCTGAGATGGAGAGGGAGGTGGGATGAGAGTAACTCCTTCCTCCAGACAAGTCAAGTAGTTGTTGACTTGTTCAGGCTCCCCTCTCCAATAGCCAATAATTCATTCATTTGTGTATTGTTTGCGCATGAATGCACAAACATAAAGTTATCTGAAACATCAAAATGACGTTTCTAATGGATCTCATGGCTTTGATTTTTGGCTGATGATGTTCTTATAGACATTTGAATAAATAGTAATACGATGTAATTTTATTTTTTCAGTCTGGCTAAACTGAAGCCCTCACTTTTTTCTGAGCTACTGTTAACTCAGTATTTCTATGGGATAAAATGTCCCAAACCATATCAGGCATTAAGGTTGCTTTGAGTATGAATATTTATGTTACTATTTAAATCTCAATAGTTTTAAACCTACCGGTTTATATTGCTTTTATTACTGGTGGTACAGATACCTCTCATAGTTCTGCAGAAATCATAAGTCAAACTAACCTGCTGTACTTCTAGCTACCATTAACTTGAATTCAATGAATGAAGGATGGTATGGAGCTCTAAAGGAAGCAATTCAGCAACAACAGAATCAGCTAGTGTGGGTTTCAGAAGGAAAGGTAAGAAATAGTATGTTTGGGGAGGAATTACACAGCTGTATGTATGAGAGGTTTTTTGTTCTTTCATGCGTATTGGTATTACAGATAAAGACAGATACTTGTGGAATGAAGTTTGTTTTCCTTTTCTTCTCATCTTAACTATCATTTGAAGATCTAAAGCAGTGTCTCATGGCTGTCTGAACTACTCAAAACTGATTTGTCACCATACTAGTGCAGTTACTCTTCTAGTGAGGGCTGTACAGTTGTCAGTTGTCCTTGTGCATGTAGCAGTGTAGTAAGTGAGAGCATTTGTCTATTGCCACTGTTAACTGGAGAATGTGTTATCTTTGAAGACTTTATGGGAATTGGATGCTTTTTCATGAAAGAACTTCTGGGTCTTCTGCTGCATTGGTACTAGAGTCTGGGATTGCCTGACGATGAATTGTTTTTTCATTAATATAAAAGCAAGTGGCATATTCATGTTCTTTCTGACCTTCCATCTCTCACTTGTGAGAACACAGATAGAAAAATCACAAGCTCATATTCTGTGTTCCCCACTAAATCTCCACTTGCCTTCTCAAGCTGCATGTTACACTATTCATGTTTGACCCATCCTCTTGAAGAACTAATATCAAGCAAAGTACCAACTTACAAGTAAGCAGATGATGAATGAGCTATTGCTATATGTTTCTTAATATTTGCATCATCTATTTCTGTTCCAATTGAGTTCTTTTCACCTCCTTATATCTACCTTCAAGTTAGTGATTCCAATATCATAATATCACTTCAAAGTGCAGCTTTGTATCTTTCCAAACACTCTGATTTCCTTGAACAGTGTGCACTATCCCCTCCCTTACACTGACAGTGATTTGACCCCTTAGTAAAATGATTCAAAGAGCTAGACTGCAGAAAAGGCTTTAAGGTGTAAGCTTAACATCTTCAACGATTGAAGCCTGATTTCTCCCCCATGCTACTCAGAATTGTTGAATTCTTGTCCTGTTCCTGTGCTGCTGGATTTGAAATATAACTAGCTTTCTTAATTACCAGACTTTCTGTTGTGGTTCAGAACAAGATAGATGCCTTTCATTTGTTTAGTTCTTAATTATTCGCTAAAGAAATTCCTAGCCTTATATTGCAAGAGAGAGGGCATTCTTTAAAAGGTATTTCAGTAAAAGTGTGTTCTAATTTTGCTTGACACAGGCAGATGGTGCTACAAGTGATGACCTTGATTTACATGATGACCGCCTTTCTTACCTCTCGGCTCCTGGTAGTGAATATTCTATGTACAGCACAGACAGTAGACACACATCTGATTATGAAGACACAGATACAGAAGGGGGTGCTTATACTGATCAAGAACTGGATGAAACTCTGAATGATGAGGTGGGGACCCCTCCTGAATCTGCTATTACACGTTCTTCTGAACCTGTTAGAGAAGATTCTTCTGGAATGCATCATGAAACTCCAACTTACTCTACTTATGCATCTCAAGCTCAGCCACAGCCAAATCTCAGAATGGATTCTTCAGGATTTAAAACAACTACTTCTCAGCCGGTAAGAAAGTAATTTTATACCCTGACTGCTATACATTTACTTCAAGTTGCAAGTTCTCTTGAACAAGATGTGTTTATAGTCTGCTTACCAGTATTGTGAATGAATACAGGAATCAGCCAACAGCAACAGTAATATGTTATAATGAACTGAAGAATCAGCTTGTCCTGCCTGTTTTAGTGACTCATTCTGACAGGAGGGGGATTGAAATACCATTCTACTTTGATTAAATGTTTTTTTTTTTTTCTTTAATCTTCAACATAATGAATTTCTGGAAGTGCTAATGCATGATACTTTCAGTACATTTCATTCTACATCTAGCTGCGTTGATCAAAGCATCATTTAAATTATTTTAATATAAATCAAAAAGTCATACGATGATTCAATAGCAGTATATTTAAAATATTTTAAACACTTCACAGAAAGCAGAAGCCTCACCTGCAGTCCCTTACCTTTCCCAGTCGCCTGAATCAAACCCTGCAACCTCATCAACCTCTGCAGTAAATGCTAATGTAAACCTAACTAATGTCAGACTGGAGGAGCCTACCGCTGCTCCTTACAACTCTTACCAGCCACAAGCGGGCCCCTTAAGAACATCAAGTACTGAGGGAGCTCATATAGTCCTAAGAGATCAAGAGCCATCATCCTTATCGCCGCATTTAGATCCAGCAAAGGTACCTGTGCCGCATTGTTGCGCTGATTTCCCGCTATACATCAAGCTAGCACATGATCTTTTTGTTTTGTCCTTATTTGGAGAATTCCTTCTGATTTTTTTTTTCTTCCTATCAGAGTTCATGCAGATTACAAAAACCAGTGCATCTGAATTGCTAAGCATCATCTAATGTTCTGTGTGCATGGCTTCAAACTATATACTCTTCACTTCTCAAAAAAATGGCATTTTTAAGAAAGACTGCATTCTGTATTTTGATTTTTACTTTGTGTGACTTTTTTCAGCTTGTCAGTGTTCTGCTGTTTATTAATGAGGCCTTGAGAAAAATAATCTTATTGCCCTAAAAAGACACTAGACCTTTGTACACTTGAAATCATGCCAAATCCTTGATCATGAAGATGAATCTAATTTGTTAACGTGACTTTATATGCTTCCTCTGCAATGCTAGAACTGATTTAAATATGTAGATGTATTTACTTCTACTCTTCCTACTCCCTGCCAAAAAGCGTGTGGCCCCACCCTTACCCCCAACACCAAACCCCAAAGATGAGAGACTGTTAACCTTCATCTTTCCCTTTTTAAGCTGCTCACATGGTTTTGCTTAAAAGTAGGACTGGAAGGGATCTCTCCAATCACCAAGTTCAGCTTCCTGTGATTGCAAACAACTGCATCAAATTATTCTGCTTTTAAACAGCATTAAAGCCAATATTTAAAATCTAGATTTGTTAAAATACTACATTTCAAATGCAGCTGCAGTTACTCTTAATTTTAACTGAAATGTGTGCCTCTCTTTTTAACAGATATACCGAAAGGATCCATATATTAGCGAAGAAGCATCCAGACAAAGCTATGTCTTGAAACAGCCAGCAATTAATCACCCAGTACAGAGGAAGGAGAGAGACCCCAATCCAATCTATGAATCCCAGGCTCAGTATGCCGAAAAACAGCCAAGTAGGGATTATGAACAGTCAACATATAGGTATGATTCTACAAACTATGTAGATCAGTTTTCTCGTGCTTATGACCCTCGCCTGCAATATGATGACCGTGTGCCTCCCTATGAGGAGCACTGGGCATATTATGATGAAAAACAGCCCTACAACCAAACAAGAACCACTTATGAAAACCAGCCTCCAAGGGATCTTGATTCCAGACAAAATATAGAAGAGAGCACAGAACGCAGCTATTATCCAGCACAACCTCGTTTTGAGGAGCCCCCTCCAATGAGCTATGATGGCAGACCTCGCTATGAGCATGCACCCAAAAACTTCAGCTTACCACAAGTGCGATATGAAGATCAACATACTGTTGGATATGACACGCATGGTAGATACAAACAAGAAGCTCAGCCATACCAGTCAGCCATAACTCGATCTCCTGAACCGAAGCAGTACTTTGATCCACATGCAAGGGGCTATGAACAAGGTCCTCCTCAAGCTTATAATGCTAAAGCTGGACAATATGAGCCTTCTCATAGCACTTCAGGTGTTTCTCTTCCTCCTCCCCTTTCATCACAAACCAAACCAGAGGTTTTGCCTTCTAACAGTAAACCACTGCCTACACCGCCATCTCTAGCAGAAGAAGAAGAAGATCCAGCCATGAAACCACAGTCTGTGCGAAGTAGGGTTAAGATATTTGAAAGAAGAAGATCACCATCTTTGGAAAAAATCAAGGACCCAAGTGATACATCAGCTGTCAAGGTAAGTCATCCAAGTTTCTTAATTCCTGCTTTTTGCTACTGAGGCTACATTGCAGGAAGTAAAATGTCATCTTGGAAAGAAAGCTCTACTGCTTGTGCAGTAGCGTCTTAGCAACCTAACTACAGGATATTTTAAAAGCAGAAGCTGAAAACTTTTCTGTGAAAATACTGAAGGGGGGATCTGGCTGTACTGAAAACTCCTCCAATTCGTCTTTCACTAGTATTTCATTCTGTGTTTTGTTTTGGGGGAAGAGGAGGGGGAGAGGGCAGTCTTTGCTTTCTTACTCAAAGTGCTGTGTTTTTTTAAGCGTAACAATCTGAGAGATTATGCTGTACCTTTTCTTTACAGCCTCCAGAACTAGCACCTAAGCCTACACTCACAACTGTGACTGCTCCAAAACCAACTTCTCAAAGCCAGTATGAACATGACAAAACGACTTACAGGTAAATGTGCAACTGAGTAATTAAATTTAGTTTTCAGTGTAAGATTAGAATATCCAGAAAACAAATCGTAGTGGTTCAAATAAGAAACTGCAGAGTGGAGAGTCTAAGTGTGTCAGTATGATTTCTGTTTCAATAGCAAGGCAGGGCATAAAGTCAGTTCTCATGGACATGATTGCTGGAGAGTGGAGGAAGGACACACTATGCTTTTTCAGCATTATTGAGGAATAAACTCAAAAAAGTGAAATGAAGATATTGGTTGAGACAATATAATAATGAATATTGTCTGATATTTAACGGAGACAATTAGAAAGTAAAACCAAAAGTGAAAAGGTAAGGGAAAAGGTAAGCGTAGAAGGGAAATAAGGATCTTCTTTCCTTAGCTGTGACATAGCATGTCTAATTTTCATGCAACATAGGTTAAAAAGGCAAGGTGTGTAGTTATAAGAATTCAATTCTGTTGCTTTATTACTAGCTAGGTTATAAAATAGAACTTAATTCAGGTACTTACGCTTGTTCACCTGGGCAAAGCAACTGTATATTATTATTCTTTGTTAGGGCCCCAGAACCACAGAGACCTCAAGTGAAGCCACCAGAAGATATTGTGCGTTCAAATCATTACGATCCTGAAGAAGATGAAGAGTATTACCGAAAGCAGCTCTCGTACTTTGATCGCAGGAGTTTTGAAAATAAGCCATCCGCGCAGGTTCCTGCCAGCCATCATTCTGAGCCCACTAAACCAATACATTCGCAGAATCAGCTGAATTTCACCAATTATTCTAAGTAAGTTTGCGGGATTTCTTTTTTTAATTTGGAAAAGGAGGGAGGCATGTAGGACTGAAACAGAAATTATGCCTCTGTCAACAGAATTCCGTGGTAGTTAATTGGAATTGTTTTGTATTCATGAAGTCACTATCTCTATTCAGATGTAGCTTTAGTTTGAAAACACATAACTGCATAGATTTTTATTTTGGTAAATGAAATGAATAATTTTCCTAGGTTTCAGGACCTTCAACATGTTACTACTTTTGCTTACCTCTTACTAACAGAACATAACAAAGCATTTCCTTAGTCTGTCTAATTCTGAGCACTTACTTCAATGTCTTCAGAGCAAAGGTTTTGGTTTATTCCAGTTCTGCATGCATTTATTCTGCAGACAGGCTTGTGCGCTTTAGCTGTGTTAGACATTAGGAAACTGACTCTTTAGGGAATATTGCTGAGGCCAGAATTTAATCTGTTGATGGAAACATCTGTTTCCTGTATTGTTCCGCTTCCTTGATCTGGAACATTTTGGTACAGAAGTGTGTGAAAGCACATACACAGATTTAGCTCAGGTAAAAACCAGCTATCTTGGAGGATACTTAACTCAAACTTGTGAATACTGTCCACAGTTACCTAAATCTCCAAAGTTTGTTTTGATTTGAACCAGAACAATGTTTGTAGCTGTTACCGTGAAAAGCTATCTTGACTTGCTGCATGCAGGATGAATATTGGGCGTTTTTGAAGGCTTTGATTGCATTTATGCTTGAAATCTGGACTATTCAGGTCAAGCTGAAAATCTAGCAGCTTTGATATAAATGAAATCTTTAGAGTGAAATAATATACTAGCCTGGCGAAGTTTTATACTGTTAAGCATATATGCAAGCCATCTTTCCTGTACTTGATGCACTGTGTTCCAGTGCTTGTCTTAAGGATTTGAGCTAGGACTTGGGAATCCTGTTCTTATATAATATTGTCTGTAGTCTCCAATGTCTTTCTCTGTGAACTGAGAATGTTAGAATCTTTCCAAAAGCTTGATAGATTTTAAAGGATTCACTTTTTTTCTAATCAAGAAATCTGCATATGATAACTATTTCTTTATTTCTTTTTAGGCTAAGGAAGGAATGCGTATAGTAATCTGTAACCAGTTCTGATTCTTAGTCAGAGATGTTCTTTATCCTTCCTTTTCACTTGCCCTGTGTCTTCCGATGGAAAGATGGGAGCATATCTGTCCTGCTCTCCGGGCATCATAGGAAGAGACCTAAAAAAAGTCTGCTGGCCTTGTAATGCACTGCAATAGCTTTCAGAATTATGTTCCTATGTACAAAAATCAATACTACCTATAGATTGTCAGTTTTGATCTTTAGGTATAGACTATGTTACCATCATAAATGCAAGTAATGCTTTCGGAGAAATGTAAACTTTGATCAAGTAATTGTGAAGATGGTAAAATTCTTCAGATGGAGAGCGTTGTAAGCTTTTGTTGTATGGTCTTTGTTCTCTGGAGTGTTGTCACGTGCTGAAAAACATGAGAAATACACACAGTTGCTGAGTTTTTGCTGCAGATCAGCTAAGAGTTGAGAGAGGTTGTTCAGTACTTCTACCTACCACTTCTGTCTGCCATGACATTTCCGTTCTTTAGCTGTTTAGTTTTTATTGTGAGTTAATGAATAACTTTAGGGCTTATACTTGGATAAGGTGACATCTTACTGCCAGAGAGGAATACAATAATACTGTTTTTAGGGCTGATAGTTTCATATCTCAGGGGATAAAAACATGTTGTGTTTTTTTTCTTTTATGAAAGAATGTAACCCTTAACAGGAAGGGACAGACATGGGAAAGAAAATTTAACCAGGGTAGTCCAGTGCAAATAGACAAAGACTGCTAAATTAGTAGTGGAAGTAAGTGGAAAGAGATAAACAAGAACACTACTCAATTGGACAGTACTGTCTCTAGAAGCATACTGTGATGTCCTTGCGTGGAAACACAAACCAATTGCTGTCTTGAGAAAGCATTCATGTTTAGGACTCTCCTTCCGCCACCTTCCAATTTGTACACTGTTACGTGCTCTTTATTCATCTTTTTTTCCAGTGGATTTATATGGTAATTGCTATTCGGTGAATGAACTCTTCTAAAAATAAACAGGACTAAATTTGGATGATATAGGAACTGTTGATTGTGCAATCTCTTGCTCCTGCATAATCCACATAGTGTATCCTGGGTACAGAGGATTTATTTATTCCTGAGCAATAGCTACAACTTTTTCAGTTCTAAATGTTAATGTTAAACATGAAATTATGTAAAGTTCTTTGCCACCGAGTAAGTATTTTGAAGGTATGTATTTTATGTGTGTACAAATTTTAGTCTTTTAATTTGTTGGGATTTTATTTGCATCATTTAGGAAACTTATACCATTACTAAAGCTGCTTTGTGCGGGTGATGCCATATCTGGATGTTAGAATTATCAGTAACTGTAGAGTAAGGGATCGTTTCTCTTGATGTGAGAAAATAGTAGAACTTGTAAATGGACATGTTTCAGTGGAGCAGTTTAGTTTTAGCAGTTTTAGTTGGAGCAGTTTGAGGCTACTTGTTCCTGCTTGGTTCAGGGTAGCTACCTGCATTAGCTTGACATGCTACAGAATGAGGTAGCTTATCTAAACTTTGTGTTGAGTTAGGGTTAAGAGTACACACACGATGGGTTACAGCTTCATCCGAGGAGGCAGTAAGGAACAGTGTCCTGCGTTAACGTCTTAAACTACTCCAGCTGAGCTTGTATGTGTCTGTTAGAGTTGAAGCTTTTTGAATGGGAACTGAAGATCAGCAGCGCAGTTTGTTTTGTTTTGTACAAAACAAAGTTTTTCTATTGTACACCGAGGCTTATGGCCTGTTGCCCACTGGTTCATTCTAGTAGTTCATTTCTGCTTCATTTCAAGTTAAAGCACTGATTTTGTAACAAAAATGAAGTGGGAAACAGCTTAGAATACATGTCAGTAGTTGGAGAAACTTTATTTGTACACTCGCAAATGGGAAGCAAGCATGTTGCTGTGGACCATTTTCATTGCATACAGGTTCTGAACAATGTGTTTTGAGACTGTGGCTGACCCTTGGTCAGGCGTCTGACAGAAGAACGTGTTTCCTGTTAAGCACAACTTTATGCTGGCTGTGTTTGTGTTGTCACAGTGCTCTCTTTGGCTTCCCCCATCCAAATGTACTACCCTTCCCCGTTTTTTGATTCCTCAAAGCTGGTGTGGAGTGTGTTGGATTTTTTTTTTTTTTTTTTTTTTCCCTGTGGGCTTTTGGAGTGCTGTCCTCCCCTGTTTAATATCCCCCTCTGGGAAGCAGTGATTTCAGGTGCACAGTTTTCTGAGAAAACAGCTACTACCCACCTTGAGTAAAGACAACAGTGAGTGTATATGCAGTTGGATGTTGCTGAATGAATGGCTTTATATAAAATCAGTAGGAAGGGAAGCTTGCACAGCAAAATGGTCATCTTTTGCAACACTGATTGTAGATGCATTCATGCAGATGCTGTTTAGCTCACTGAGCATGATCATCATCATATGGTCATCAAGCAGACTTTCAAAAGTTGATCAGCCCTTTTCTTAGTTTCATAACATACTCCTCTGAAGCATTGTTACCTGTTACATTTTTATGAGCATATAGAAAGTGAAGGGGTGAGGGAAAGCTGTCTTAATGTAAAATGTATTTTCTTGCAACGTGTAAGCAAGATAAGGGAAAGTCATCAGTATACTTAAGGTTTTTGTCAGTTGTTCTAAGACATCCTTTTAGGAACTGTTGAACATAATGAGAAGCATTTTATGGTGTGGGCTCTGCTGCTGGGTGAGCTGATAGTGCTATAGAAATATTTGCTATGAATGTACCCTCAGTCCATGGTCTGCAATACAAAACTATTCTCATTCTCTGTATGTTAAGGCTGAAGAAATTAATGCAAATTGGACCATAAAGAAGAGATTGTTAGAATATGGGCTTCATATTTTGTTCACTTTTTTCAGTATATTGAATAACTTTGTACAGATAGTAACAAATTACTTAGTGCAGTCTCATTTTTTGCTTTCAATATCTGTCAGTTTGAGATCTTGACCACCTCCTAATTCCCTGACAAAAATTCATATTAAATATAGTAGGTAATCATTGTACATATATGCATATGGTAAAGGTCTTATCAGAAGCATGACTGTTAGTAGTGTGTCTCTGTTTCAACAACCTTGTCATATGAGAAGTGCTAGGACTAACATAAAAAGTGTCAAGAAATAATATACTCAACATAGAATGACTGTTTTCTTTCATTCTTCTATTGCTGTTTGCTTTGCCATCACCTAGATTTCTTGGCTCTTACACTAGCTATGACTACTTGAAAAGGAACATCAAGTGGTAAGACTGTTGTTGATGTGAGGATGTTTTCAGGTGTCCTCTCACTGTTACATTTCATCACAGGCATTATGTGCACTTAAAATTTTAAATACAGAAATTCTGAAAGTAGGTGCAATATATTGTAGTCCAAAATTACAGGTGTTTGTGAAATCACTCATTTTCTGAAAGAAACTTTTGGAGTATATTTCTAGTATAAGAAAAATGTTTTGAAAAATAAGATTTTTAAAGTTATCTATACTATGCACATAAAGCTAGTGAAGCTTAAGCTGATTGCATTTCTAATTAAGATGGCATTGTTGAAATACTAGGTGTATTTAGAAAAGTAGTACTAGAATCCATTGTCTTATTGGCTAATTATGCTTTTCAAAAACAACCTACTCACCTCCCAAAAAAGTGAATTTATGTTTTTATTTTGAAGATCTGCTAAATTAGAGAACACTTCTTCATTGAAATTACCCCAAGTGAAATCGAAAAAAGATCTTGTAGGCAATTGTACAAATACACCTGAAATGTCATCTGCCTTTTGTTTGCCATGGTTTGTGTTACTAATCTTATAAAGATTCAATGTTGTCCTAATCTCTTGTGCTTATCAATAAATGTTTTTATACTTGAGACAGGATATTAAAGAAGATTGTGTTTTAATGTTTATAGGAAGAGGTGGAAATCAGGCCATCATAGAAGAAAAAAAATAGCAGTGAAGGCAGGAGCCCAGAGCTCTGAGGAAATGGAACAGTCAAACGTGTTTTTTCTTGTATTTCAACAGGGGGAAACCAACTGATACTGAGTCAATAGATAGGCCTGTTGGTGAAAAACACTATGAGCCAATCCCTCAAGTTACAACTCCTCCTCCTCCTCCTTCAGTCCAGTATACACAACCACAGTCAATTAATAGTCCTGTCCTGTCTCTCCCAGCACATCACAAGCCTGCACTTTCTGAAGGTGAGCAGCTGGAAAGCTGACCTGTCTCATGCGGTAACAAGTATCACTTGTCAGGTGCTTGTGTGGTTGCTGCAGCACCTCTGCACTGGTAATGGTGTTCTCTAACTGAAACTTGGAATAATTATGAGTGAAAGTAGCTTTTTACTATAGTGAGATTGAGTTTTGTGAAATGATTTGGTGTTCCTGTCTGAAATTGTACCTTCCAGGTGTTAAGTCACTACAACTGTTTCTTCCATATTTGAGGGTCTCAGCAAAGATGAAGTAAAATTTCCAGTACTTAAAATTGTACCTCTCTGTGCTTTGGACCAGTTCTTTAGGCATGAGTGATAGTTGTAGGCTTCTAAAACCAGAAGAAAAAGTTGTTTTCACTTTCACACTGAGAGGATTGCTCAGTCCAACCGAGTTTTCCAGTTTGTGCAAGTGCATGATATTATTTCAATGCTGTTTTTTTTGTGTGTGTGTGGTATAAATCACTGACCTTTTTATTGAAAGGTCATACCATTGTGTCCAATGTATCTATTTAAAGAAACACTAGATGAGTCACCTGAGCAAAACTTAATAGGAGAACAGATGATCTAAGAGAGCTAAGCCAATACATTTAAAATACCTATATTTTATATAGTAGATCAAGAATTGACTGAAACGTATTCATAGGCCAATAGTGTATGTCACTAGAAACTTCTGATAGTTACTGACAAGTTCTGGTATTTTTATTTGTGTTGCAGTTAACTCTGTGTCTGACCCTCCTCCACCTCAGAATAAGCCAGCAATTTTCAGATCCTCTAGAGAGGACACTGTGCAGTCCACTTTTTATCCTCAGAAAAGCTTCCCTGACAAGGGGCCGGTTAACGGACCTGAACCGATTCAGAAAACAGTCACCCCCTCTTACAACCGCTTTACAACAAAACCTTACACCAGTGCCGCGAGGCCCTTTGAGCGCAAGTTCGAAAGTCCTAAATTCAACCATAATCTCTTGCCAAATGAAGCTCAACATAAACCAGAGTTGCCATCAAAATCTCCAAATTCTCCTCAACCAATTTTGAAAGCACACAGCTCATCCCAGCCTCCTGAGTTTGACAGTGGAGTGGATACCTTTGCTGTACAGGTTGACAAGCCTAAATATCAACCAAATAATGTTAATGCTGTGCCTAAAGCCATTCCTGTAAGGTAAGCTGCTGCTTTTTTCTTTCCAATAGTACATCTATAGGAGTTAATCGGTGAAAAATACAGTTGTGGGTGGTCGTTTTCTTGTTTTGGTGGCTTTTTTGCTGTGCTTGCAATTTTTGTTGATGTTATAGTTGAAAGATTGATACTATGATTCTAAAATTCTGCCAAAGGGCATTGAAGAGCGTTTGGGTAGATTAAAGTATGTCCTGTGTTCTCGTATTATCTTGCATCCTGTTATTAGAAAGTGGCATGGCTTTTATTTCTCATTTCTCATACTGTAATTATAAATCTTCTGGTAGATAGTAATCATTTGTCCTCTCAATTTGTTTGTAGAAGATGGAATTAATTTCTAAGAATAGCTGTTGCACCAAATCGCTTTCATTTCTGTGTGCTTAGAGAGAGACCTCGTGGTACACATGCGTAAGGGTTATTTTAAAAGTACTTGTAAAAAGAGAAGGTCATTTTAGCAGTTTCAGATTGGTTTTCTTTACTATGAGACAAAAGAACAACTGCTTAAAGCAGCTTGCGCTTGCCTAATATGCTTTAACTATAAGAACTATGTCAAGAGCAAGGTAGTATTACAATCTTAAGCTATTTGCTGACTTGTTAAATTCTTTTCACTAATATTTGCAGAACAGAGTTCTATTTTTCTTTGATTTCAAAATAATAATGCCTGAATCAGACTCGAAATCTTGCTTGATGTTTCAGTAACTCAGAAATGTAGAAGAATTAATCTATTTGTTGTTAAGCAGCTGAGAAATGTTTCGATGCTATATGGTTTTGTAGACTGCTAGAAATTTATAAATTACTGGTTCGTTGAGTGGCATTCTTTAGAAATTGTCTGAAGTCTACTCAAAGTAGGAGTTTGATTTAGATGTTTCTCTTTAGTTAGATCCTGGCAACCTGAAAAAAAAACGTAGTGTTTTTTTAATGGGCTTTGTTTTCAATGTATATCTGAATAGAAGGATTCAGTGTGGTTTGAATAAGTATTATTACTCCTTATGGTGTTAGTCATAATGGAGTTTTGGGAGGAAAAAGAAACTTTCAGATATTAATCGTATGTAGTTTTACCAAGCTGAAGTGTGTAACTGGGGCATGCTCTTCCTGTATAATCCCAGAAGCAGGTGTTTGAAAACACAAGATTCAAGCAGTCCAAATTCTTGATTTAACTACATTGTGAACATTTTCACAGTTTGTGGGCATTGGGGTCTTTTTTTCTGTGTAAATGGCAGAACTTGAACTTGAACTACTTTCATCTTAGTTGTCCTGCACAATCGAATGTGGGATAAATTTAATGTTTTTCTAAAATCAGTGCTAGCCTACTCTAGCTGTGCTCTGTTAAAATGTTAGAGGAAAGTATGCCACTGACTTTCAGGAAGAAAATATTGATAAAACTGCTAGGCTTTCTGTCTTATATTCAGCCCTTCAGCACTCGAGGATGAGGAAGAAGAAGATGGGCACACTGTCGTAGCCACAGCAAGAGGTGTGTTTAACAGCAATGGTGGTGTATTGAGCTCCATAGAGACTGGAGTTAGTATTATTATTCCACAAGGAGCCATTCCAGAGGGAATAGAGCAAGAAATATATTTCAAAGTCTGCAGAGACAACAGTATACTTCCACCTTTGGACAAAGAGAAAGGTAAGAGCTAGTGCTGTACACTGTACTATTATTTAACACAATTACTTTTTAATAGCAGCAAAATAGAATATGAAAATACCTTAATATGCTTCAATATATAACATATTTCTGTATGAAGATACAGAGTATACGTCTCACAAGAAGTACAAGAGAAGCAACGTTCTGCTCAATAATGCAAGTTGCAGCAAGGTGGAGGCCCTGAATTATAACTTGAGAACATTCAATTTGTAGATTTAAGTACTTGATTTAAAACTTAACTAGTGCACTAAAGGAAGGCTTTAAATTCTTTTTTTAAGAATCTTCGAAATTGTAGATTCCTTCACAAAGTGCAGAGATTGATTCTAGGCATTCTTATATAGCATCTCACAAAAGAATTACAAAGCACATGATTTAAACTAATTTGATTTAAATATTTGGTATTTGTTTCAACACTTCAAAACACTCAGTGTTTTAATTTTTTTCAATTTCTCTAAATAAAACAGCTTCAGGGTTTAATAAACATTCTTTTATAGAAATAACAGTATATTCTGGACTACCTTATTAGTAAGGGTTGAATAGTGTATCTTAGTTGAGCAGTTTTTTCATAGTAAGTCTGTCTTTCATACCACTAGTCCCAGTGTACTTGTGTTTTCTGACCTGTCAGATTCCCATTTTCTTCAAATCAAGAAGTTAAAGGGGTTAATTTCATAAATTTGCAGTTAAAGTGTTAGTCTGCAATTACTTCAGTCTTTATAAACAAAACATAGCATGTTCCTCAACTGTGAATAACCTTACGTTAATGTTTTGAGTTTTAAACTAAAAAGAGAGCTATATGTTTGTATGCTTTCTTTTGACTACTAGGCTAAGGGTATAGGCTTTTGAGGTGCTGAAGGCTTTATTCAGCCTAGTGTGCTGTAAATCCACACAAGCAGAACATCGTTGCAGCTGTAGGACAAAGAGAAAGCATGAACAAGGCTGCATACAGATTTGGGGATTTTTCTCTCCTGATGCACCTAGTTAGAAATTAGTGGCCCAAAAAAAAAAAAAAATCCCAACATGATTTAGTCAGACTTGTTTATCCTTTTGCATCTTGTGTGTGTGATATGCGCCACTGAGAAGTGACTTGAGCGCTCTGAAAGAGACTCTGAGAAACAATCTTGCTAAGTGCTAGTCTTTTCCGACAGGTCAAACTGTTCATGTTTTTCTGTAAAACTAAGTTGCTGAGTAGCTATGCAATGTAATTACGTAATATTTGGAACCTGTTTCAAGAAGAATCAGTAACAGGTTTTTCTTTCTCTGAATTATAGGTGAAACACTTCTTAGCCCCTTGGTAATGTGTGGGCCTCACGGACTAAAATTCCTGAAGCCAGTGGAGCTGCGCCTGCCACATTGTGCGTCTATGACCCCTGATGGTTGGTCTTTTGCTCTAAAATCCTCCGACTCCTCGTCGGGTATGCTGTCCTCCCTCTGTCCTTTTGGGGCTTTTGGGTGCTATCGTATAATTTAAGTTAATTTGGCTAAAGGTGATGCTGTGTAATATGAAGAACTCAATCATTGTATTTGTGTCAAACTCTCCCATTTCACTTTCATTACAAATGTCTTTCTTACATTTACTCATGGTGCAAATTCATAGCTAAAACCATGATAGCAGAAAAAGAGTAATATCTCTAGTCTATTAAATATTACCATATTTTTATATTGTCTTCTTTCTTGAGGACTGCTACAGCTGAATACACTTGAAATGATAGTCGCACTAAAATTGAGAGGAAATGATTATGTACCTCTGATTGGCCTTTGTAACATAACTGGTGTTTGTCTGTTGCTTAATTAACCATATAGGAGTCTGGCAAATCTTAACAATCTGCATGCTCATAAATCATGATTTAATGCTTGTTAACTGTTTCCATGTGTGCAAGTTGATGCTAACAATTGAATCATTTAAGAAAACTATAGTGTTCAGTAAAAGCATTTACAATTCATTCTGATGTAGCTGAATTTTCCACAAGACTTTTCTTGCTTGCTTCTGCTTATTTCTCCTCTACCGCCGTTTACCCGGAAGTTTCTGGTTGATAGTAATAAAACTGCAACCTAGTTGCAACTTTTTACCTGTTCGTTTTTACCTCGCTGTGGCTTTCTGAGATGAGAGGGAGAATGTATTGGCTGAAACTGTCAGTGAGGAGCCTAATTGAGAATTCTGGGCAAGTTTCAAGCAATTTCATGAAATGGCTGTGAGGTTACAGAGATTAAAAAAGGAACGTTTGCACATCTGGCGAAAAAGTCTTATGGTTTTATTCAGCTACCTTCAAAATTTATGGTAAAAGGTTCGAACCATGAATATGTACGTATGATCTAAGTAACGACTGAACGATGTACTTCTGTATGCAGCATTGAAGCCACCATGTATGCATATCTTCCGTTACTAATGTATCTATCACTGTCAACACCAAAGCACTGATGCTTTGAAAGATGAAAGCATCAATCCCCCTTGATGGGGATTCAATAACCTAGAGGTATTAATGGCAATAATTTTTCGCTGTTTTTTTATAAGCTATTATATGCATGTGTTGCATGCATCTATTTAACAATGTGTGTATCCATGGCAGTGTTACAACATGGACTCATAAATAATAGGGTTCCAAAAGGTACGACACCTATGTACAAAAATGACACAACACTTCCTTTGTAACTAATAGCACCTGTTCATGAACTTACTTGAAGCGAAGGGAGAGGACTCAAATCATCTAAACAATAACTGGAATTACTGAGACATTTTTCTCCCTTTCCAAAGCGGGATGGATGTGTGTGTGTGTGGGTGAGAGCAAGCAAGAGTGTGTATATTTAAACCCTAACACTTTCTGTACTGTAAATACAACACCACATTCTGTTAATCTGAAATGGGATGTATATCATAACATTGCTCTTTTGAGACAAACTTTAAACTTAGGCAATTCTGTCTTATGATATGTAAGTAGACCATACTGTGTCTTAAATAAATAATTGTTTTCTCTCTTTCTAAATTAGTTGGTTATGGGACTCTGATTTTTGAGGTGGCTTTATAATAACAGTTTATATGAATCTGAGTTTTTTTCTCTCTTCAGTCGTCTGCTCTACCTCATCTTTTCTCAATGTGTCCATGTTCTGTCCTAAAAGTGACATTCATTTGCACTTACTAACATCCTTTCTGCCACATTTTAAGCCTCATATTGATATTTTACTGTTAAACTCCTTCAAAAGCTTGAATGATTCTAGTATTAAAACTGACTGGGGAAAAAAGTCGCCTTTTATGGCCACACCTACTGAAATGTATCAGTTAAAAATACTGAAGGATTATTTTTTTTCAGAGCAGTTATACCTAAGTATGGGAAAAACATCCTCAGCAGCTAGAGGTTGCACTGGCTACAGTCTAATCCTTACTATGTATTTAGGAGAAAAGGTTGGAAAAAAGTCTGCCATTGTCTCATGTGCAAGACTAGGACCTGGTTGTCCCACAGTCCTGTTTTACCTTTCTCTTAATATATTTGATCATGTGAGCTTTGAAGGGAATTCACTGCATTTATAAAATGAAAAATCCTCCAGCATTATTGAGCTGCTTGACTGAAATAAGTAGTCTTTGCTAGTTGCAGCAAACTTGTTTGCGTTCTCTAACTATACACAGGCCACTTCTATTCTCTGTCCCTACATCAGATGTTGCCATCACTCAGTGCATTGTGTACCTCATTTTGTTTTCATGAGTTCTTGAAGAAAATTACGTGGAATTTCCATCGGTCTCATATAATACAGAGGTCTCAGGTGTTGCAGTCTTTGTGACTTGTTGCACGTTTCTCAAGGCAGATCTATTTTGGCCAAGCTATTTAATGTCATTGCACTGAAGTTCTCTTAAGCCTTCCAGATAATTTTTCACTGTCTGCTGTAGTGGATGGTGACACTTTGTATATAGTGGCAACATTTACTAGTGGTTTTAGGTGGGTAAATGAAGAATACTTTCTCCAGTTGAAAGAGACAGTTGATTGTGCAGCTGAATGTAACCTTTGTTTGGTGAGATGGCAGCTGATGACTTTCCCTTGTAACAGAATGTTACAAAGGATCTTTGACCATAAGTAGATAAGATCTGTTGTAAAGATTTTTAAGTATGCATCAGTTGACTAGAATCCGTTTCAGAATGTCAGTATTTCAGGCTTTTAAACAAGTGTCCTGGATGTAACTGCAAAAGGACTACAATCCTGCCTACAATAATTTTCATAACAGAAAATAAAATTACCAGTGTTTCATAGTGTTTAGTTACAACATAGCTTCTGATTTGACTCATCTGTGTTTGGAACTGTTCCAAGAAACCTCAAATACATCATACCCAGATTAGCTTTTAAAATGTCTTATTTTTTTCTGGCAATTTAGGAAAGAGCCAGTGAATAACTGATTCACTGTTGACACTTCTCAAATGGAAAGCACTATGTTGGTGCTGTAGAATAGAATGGTTTATATTTAACAATTCCTGAGTGCCACAGCATCTGTTTTGAATAACTGATCTATCCTACATTATATGAAAATAAAGAGTTAAGTTTTTATTAATAACATACAAACTGCAGATTTTTTTAAGATAAACAGGTGTTGAATCAGAACTTAAAAGCTCCTGTCCAAAAGCTTGGTTGTTTCAAGATGTACACTGTTTGTCAGCGGATACTAAACACCAGCATTGTGTTTTCCTCCCACAGGTGACCCCAAAACCTGGCAGAACAAGTCTCTTCCCGGGGATCCAAACTATCTTGTTGGAGCAAACTGTGTCTCAGTCCTAATTGACCACTTCTAAATATTAAGTTAGCTGACTGAGTAAATAATGTGAAACTGAGATGGACCTTACATATAAACTGAACCACTCTATCAAGTATTAACTGTTCTATAAGTGATAATGGATCTTAGTGTTTAAGCATCTTGCTTTAACTAACAGTGGTTTAGCAAGTACACTCTTTGAACCATGGTCACAATACATGCCACTAGCAGGGAGTGTACAGTGGGAACAAGGTAGGGCTTTTGCAGGTTCTTGTATGCTTTGGTTTGTTGGTTGTTCTTTTGTGGTTTTTTGTTTTGTTTATTTTTTTTTAAGGACACAAGTATTTCATTGTTTGAAATCTGAAAGTACCAATGGAATTGCATTCAGAGGAACTGAATTTGGTTCATACTCCACTGGCGAAAACACAGAATTTGGCCTGCATTTTTACTACTGTGTGTTTGTAACTCACAAGACTACATTTCGGTCTCTAGTTTTTAAATGACTTTTGGTGTACATGTCCAATGAAATGGCAATCAACTTGGGGTAGCACAGTTTAGATGTACTTCCTCTGCTAGGAGGCTAATGCAAACACGTCTACTTACTGTATATGGAAACATTGTCATGAGAACAGGGGGGAGGGAGAAAAGCATGTGGGATGACTATGGTTCAGTTGCCTCTGTGGATTTGTAAATTAACCACATTATTACAGACCTATTAACCAGCAGGGATGCCTTACCCTCATGTTTTTAATAGTCTTAGTTCTCATAGTTCTCTGTATTAAGTTTGTATGGCTTTTGTGCTTACCTAGATAATATATCATGAGAGACTGGGGAAAGAGAGGGTGGGGGGGGAAGCAACAACAAAAAACTTGCAAGTTTGGTTTAGAGAACAAGTATTGTTTGTGTTCATCAGCCAGAAGAGAACCAGAAGAAAATGATGGTATGTTTTCTGCTATGCATTTGAAAATTTATAGATGTTATAGACCGCTTGTATATAATGCGTGCATACCACTTTTGTTCTTGGTTTGTAAATTAACTTTTATAAGCTTTACCTTTTTATATATATAAATATATATAAAAACAAACAAAGTTTCTTAAGGATATCTTTGTATTCTCATACCTTTTGAGCCTTGAACTTTGACATCTGCAGCAATAAAGCAGCATTTCTACAGTAGATGAACAAGGACATTTTTTAAAAATGCACAAAGTTGTTACCTTTTTAAGTGCTGCATTTAAAGAATATAACTCGGAATTCTCTACTTTGATTAAATTCTTGAAAAGTATCCCTACTGTAATTTGTCATAAGGATGCTGTACTATGTGCCCTGAAATGTATTTTTTTACTAATAGACAATTTATTACGGCACAATGGCACTACTACTGTTTAGATAATATACCACTGCATTCTGTTAATGAGTTATTAGCTATTCAGGTGTGGCTGATTTTTTTTTCTCTGCAGTTATTAAAATTACACGTTTCTAAATATACAGAATAAAACTGTTTTTAAAATAATAAAAGATTCTAGTACCTTATTGTTTCTGAAATGCATTTATGTGAACATGACAAAATAAATTCTGATTTTTTTTTTTCTGTGTAAGTAGACAACTGGATTCTGCTGTACATAAATGAAGTGGAGCTTTTTTGTTGAGTCAGTTGGAGTGGTCTACAGCAGGGCTTCTGAAATGAACTTCAGTGTGGATCCATTGGAAATGCTCAATACAAGTTGGAGTGGTAGACTTGTGCCTTGAATGTTGAATGTTGGTGCTAGTTTACTGACTATACCTACTTTTCCAAATAGCTTGGTAGTGTTCTAGCATGTGGATTTACACATAGTCTAGTTTTAAAATGTTAAAGGTGCTCCTACAGAATCCCTTTATCAGGCCCATTTGAAGTACTCAGTGGCTAACTAGTAAGCTAATATTATTCTATGAGAAAATAAATTCTAGAAGTTATTTTTAAATAATGCTGAGAAACAATGCATAACCCTGATGTTTCCTTTTTGTACTTTTACTGACCAGTTAGTTTGCTTCTCAGGCATGACTTGCCCTAGAAGGTGTGTTTACTACTAGTGCTGCTCCTGATGGCTTATCTCAACTCTAAGAGCAGGCAGAAAACTGGAATAGCAAAGAAAAACTGTCAAAATGACATGCAGAGCATCTTGGAGAAAATTCTAATGCATGAACTGTTTGCAGTGGTGGTGTTTGTGTCATGGAGATCCTGAGTCTAGGATGCTGCAAGGTAAAACTGTCCTGAGTTGCTTTTACTGTAATGATCCAGATAATATTTCTGCTGTTCTTTGAAAGAGTTTAGGGCCATGTCTTTCTATCAAAATGGAAAAAAAAGTGACAGATTTTGCTCTGCCGTCATTTCATAAACGAAATGAGAAAGCTGATGCTGTTGAAAAAGGTGGTAGTTCTCTACTACTAAGCAGCCTGTCAATGGAATTGTCTTTTGCTGTCTACCTGTAGGAATGTTTATCAAAGTGGATAAATTGAACCATGTGCATGTTTTCCTTGTTGTTAAATCCCAGTGCTTTGAGGTTAAAACATGGCCATTGAGAATAACTGTGCTAAAATAACGTATTTTCTTACTTCAAAATACCGGTGTTTTTTAAATCCTTACCCTTGCAGAAGATTACATTCCTTACATATTTTATATAGGCTAGCCTCTGCAGAAAATAAGTTTACATGTAATATTTTCATTTACTGTAGTTCTCTATTTACTGTTAATATTTTAATTTACTGTAGTTCTGTATTTGCTGTTTAACATGAACTTCAAAAACTGTGTCTCCCAATTCTTGGTATTTCTCAGCGATGCAAATAGTACAGAAGTTTTAATAATGTAAATCTCAAGTCATGCGCTCACTTCTAAATTAGTGGCTTCAACGGTGGGAACAGTAAATTATGTAAAATTATGTAAAAAAGTAATTATACTGTCACTGAATTTGGCTCGAAACCCAGTTTTGACAAAGGTTAAAGGATGTTTTGGTGGAAGCAATGATGCTATCCTAGTTACCTTAATTAAACCTTGAAACATTTTCAAGAATCATAGACTGGTTTGAGTTGGACAGGACCTTGAAGATCATCTGATTCTGACCCCCCTGCCCCATGCTTCTCTGGGCAACCAAAGATCAGACAGGCTGAGAGAGTTGGGGCTGTTCAGCCTGGAGAAGAGAAGGCTCCAGGGAGACCTTCCAGCAGCCTTCTGGTACTTAAAGGGGGCCTACAGGAAAGGTGAGGGATATTTTTTACAAGGGCCTGTAGTGACAGGACAAGGGGCAATGGCTTTAAACCGAAAGAGGGGAGATTTAGAATAGATAGAAGGAAGAAATACTTTGCTCTGAGGGTGGTGAGGCACTGGAATGGGTTGCCTAGAGAAGTTGTGGATACCTCATCCCTGGAAGTGTTCAAGGCCAGGTTGGGTGAGGGTTTGAGCACCCTGCTCTAGTGGAACGTGTCCCTTCCCATAGCAGGGAAATTGGAAAGATGATCTTGAAGGTCCCTTCCAACCCAAACTGTTCTATGATTTTGTGATTTCAAATGGCTCTGAAACAGAGTTTTAGCACAGACAACTGTCTGTCAGTGACTTCAAGCAGTAACAGTCCTTACTGTGTAAGATGCAGAGAACAGGTCCAAAATGGAACCTCTGCATCTACAAGTGCAATTGTCCTGCTTTGTTACCGCAGGAGTAATAAAGGTGGCCAAAAGTGAAGAAAGAGAAACACTTTGTTTCACGTGGTGCTGCGTGACTAGAACTGCCACTGTGTGAACTTGGGGAAGAGAGCAAAAAGCGTAACTTCTGCTTAGAATGACGAGAACACGTTTTAGGCTAACTTTTGTCAGTATTTTTGTCAGCTTTTAATTCACTAATGCTGATTCTGAAATTGCTCTAATCTGCCCTGTGACAATGTGTATGAAGTTTCCCATTGAAGTTTATTATGCAGCACTAACTGCCTGTCCCTCTCCTCTCTGGCATTGACTAAAGTGACAGAGGAAGAGGAGACAAATACAAAATGTCCCACTGTTCCCTCGGTCTGGAGAGGCTTCCAGTAAGGCAGGTTTGGTGTCTGTCACTATTGCTGATTGCTGACAAGGGAAATAACTATGATTTGTGTTACATAATTGGACCTCTCCAGATCATCCATTCTGTGTCTCTCATGAAAGTGGCAAAAGATGTTACACTTTCATATAAGGAAGTTAGGTGCTTTGCTTGTGGTTAGGGATCCATACTGGGTTTTCTGTGTACATCTTAGGTTTTTTTGTTTTTTTGCATTGTGGCTTTCTGTCTGTGAAGAACTTTAGGTCAGGAGTACTTCAGAACCTCCAGTAGCTTCATCTGGTTTTGGATTGTAAATGCCAGTGTTCGGTAGCACTGTAGACCATTATCAAACCAGGAGTGTCATGTGTTTTCATTGTCTGCAACAGCTTGCTCTATTTGGTGGTGTTTTCTTGTGTTTCTGACCTGATCTCCTGTCTGTCTGTTCTGAGTTTTTATTGGGGGTGGGGGGAAGGGGGCAGTCAGGTGGATGACAGACATGAGGGATGGCACTTCAGCTCACCTGGGGGCAACTGAAATAAAAGAACTGTGAGTAGTGGGGAGAGTCTCTGAGGTTTAATGGTTTCTGTAAGACATTAATGCTGCCACAATTCTCTATATTCGGGAGTCTGTTACTTGCTCTGCATGACAAAATTCGTTGAGCATTGTTTCTACTCTGAAGATAGTGTAAGGATTTGATGGCAGGCAGGAGCTCTTGTGATAAGTAAAGGCTGGGGAGAGCAGAGTTGAGCGGATACACAAACTGGTGGGATCTCATTAGCTTTACTCATGTTATTTGAATAGACTTGAAAAACTTGCATAAGACCTGAAAATAAGTTCTCTTAAACACCATATACCTCTGCATGTGCATAACGTGTCTGTTGCAGCAATTCACTCCCACTAGAGAAACCTGCAATTCTCTACTTGTTACCCTAATGCTAGCTGTTGCCACGTTTTGAGGGTCCTTTTCATTGACTTCAGTAGCAATTGGGTAGACAACTGAAAACATAGACTCCTAAGGAAATAAACTGTACTCTATTGTAATGACTACTCTACTATCTTTTTTTTCTTGGATATTCAGTGTGCATTAAATTTTCTTTAAAAATAATTGAATGAAAACCCATTATTTAAATATTCAGCTAATGTACCTTGTCTTTAGAGGATTCTGCAGCACTTGTCCGTTCTATACAAGTTGCTGAGCACAGCAGATGTGATAGGCTGTGAAAACGCTATATATAAATTACAGCCTGTTAAGATGAGTGCAGGTATAAAACATGCTGGTTAATGTATGAAGTTTCTAAAATTATATTAAAAAGAAGAAATGTTTTCCTAGAAAAATTCTGACCCACTTCTACCCTTCTTCCTTCCAACTTTAGAGCTTAAAATTTGGGGGAAGACGTAAGTGAGAAAAAAAGCTATAGAACGCAAGGAAAATGAGATCGGGCATTCAGTTTGGATGGGGGCTTTTCTGTCTTGGCGTTGGACTACCAATGGTGATGCTTAATGGCATGCATTTAAAAGTGAATCTACATACATTTAGAAGCCTTGCCAAAGACTGAAATGATTTTAAGGTAATGTTGCCAGAGCAGAAACCTGGCACTAAAAATTATTCTTTGCAGAAAGAAGATGAGAAGAAACTTCTTTGCTAGAAGGAGCATTCATGATGCAGAGCTTGATAGTGGTCTTCCAGTATGGATGATGTAACAGTGAAGCTGGCTGCAGTGATTTCCTTCCTAATTGTAATTACTTTTGTCTTTACTTAATTAATGACCAAATATTTCAAGTTCATCACATTGCAGAATAAGAAGGTAAGGTAAAATTAATTAAATTGGTGATAAAGGAATTTACATATTTGATTACTGAAGTAGCGTGTTGGTAAGGTAGTACATCAGGGAAGCCAACTTAGTGACCAGGAAGTAGTTGCCTTAATTTTAAGGTTTGTATTAACTGTTTTCGGTTCGTCTTGGCTTAAAAGCTGTGGAAAGGCACAAGATGTATACAGATGCAAACCTTGCTATATGGTATATAATGCTATGAAATCAGCTATGTAAATGATAACCTGCTGCCCCTGTAGAACAGTCAGAGCTTGTGCTGGAAGAAAGAGTTGCAGCCTTTTTCCCTTGAATATCACTGGCAGTTCTGCTGGTGCTGCCAGTATCCATACCTCTTTTTTTTTTTTTTTTTTTTTTTTACTTCTACCAGCAATACACTGAAGTTATTTATAGCACTTCAGATGTCTACTGAGAATGCAGGAGTGATGAGAGCAGGCTTATGTGTCTTTTGAGTTCTATTTTATATATAGGCTTTCCTTTTTTTTTAAGTAATTGACATCGTCACTGTTCTAGGCAGTCTTGAAAAGGTAATTCAGACAGTAATATTGCAGTACTATCTATGCAGCTATGTCAGTCTCTCCCAAACAAAAAAGCTTACTTAACCAATATGGTCTTCGTAGTCCCACATCCTTACGTGCTACTCTGCTGGT